CTACGGTTATGAGCCAAGTTACGCCGTGTCGCAAGTTTTGTGAGGTGCTTTTTTGATATTTAATGAATCGGATTACATTTACACATTACATTTACATCCGATCCAGTAATTTAGGTCAGTATCGGACCGATACCGATACTTAATATCGGATCGGTACATCTCTAATATTTACATTACCAAAGTGAGATGACTTTAGTCTCATGAACAACATCAGCTAATTGTTATTTACTAACTACTCTTTAAATTACTTCAGTACAGAAATGAAGCCCAACAATCATGTTTTACAGTCCCGTGGTCTCAGCCTCAGATACTCAACTAATCAAAGTGATGTCATGACAAAAATGAATGACCAACAAAACATTTTTCTCCTTCATTTCTGTCACACAAAGCTGTATGAAACGTTTCTCGCGGTTAGTATCATGGTTGCTAGGCAACCTGAACAGCGTGACGAAGGCTAGACCATCCCATTTCACAAGCCTCCGCACTTCTCATACTTATAGTATGCACCGTACGTAGTACGTGTAGTGTGCGTACTTCAAGCGTGCGGTCTCTTAATTGGGACACAGGCAGTGCCTGGCAGGCAGCAGTGTGTTTGTTTGTACCGTGCTGCTCCATCTTCTCCACCAGTGACTCTGGAGTCTCATCCAGGAAGAAGTCTGGCAGCAGAGGGTGACCCGGCTGGACAGCGTACTGGTCGAAGTCTTTGACGCCCTGCTCTCTGAGGAACTCCTCATCCACCAGGAAGTGACCCGTGTAATCTTTTGGACGGGACAGGATGGCGTAGGCAGCGTCCGCTATGATGTCGGCTTTCCGACACTGTTTACTGACACCCTCTCCCCCCAGCATGTCCATAGCTGCTGTCTGAATCGCTATGGGAACAACACAGAGCAGGGTTAATATTACAGAATAAGTTTTAGCATTGTTAGCATGCTAACAGCTGCTCACCCGTCCTCGGCCAGAGGGCGTTGACGGCAATTTGACCTCTGAACTCTTCAGCCATTCCCAGTACGCACATGGACATGCCATACTTCGCCATTGTGTAGGCTTAAAAAAAAACAAATCAGACATGTGAAGGTTGTACAGATGCATGATGGGACACAGGGCCAGATAATTGCTATAGTTACCAGTGTGGTTCTTGAACCAGACGGGGTTCAGGTTGAGAGGCGGCGACAGGTTCAGGATGTGAGGATTCCGACTCTTCAGCAGGTGAGGGATGACCAGCTTAGACCTGAAACACAGATGCCCATCAAACACGTGTGACCACATACATGTTACTGTCCACATGTATTCCAGTAACACAAGTGTTTTCCTAAGTGTCTTGTTTTCTAATCATTGAAAGACAAAGCTGTATCTGATTACATGAATACGCTACACTCTGCTCCAGTTCATACTGCCCTTTGCTGGTGTTGTCATGCTTTGTCCCACAACACAGATCTCACACAGTATCAGTTTAAAAGGAGGAGCATCTTTTTTTTCCCCTCACAGGACTGTCAACCTTAGACAAATTACTTTAAGTTTAAATGTTAAAGTCACTTTCATGAGTGATGCTGAGGGGAGGCAGGAGGAAGTGACACGCAGCTGACAGGGCGACACGTTCACCCTCTGAAACCCAAAACACACAAAGCGCTCATCAGCCCACACGACCAGTTTATTCCCAACTCCCAGGATGAAGGCACGTTTACATGTTCACAGCGATGCATGAGTTCTCTTTACTGTGAACAGATGTGGGCGAATATCAGCTGAGCAGTAAGATTAACTCATAACATCTGCCCTGAGTTTCCTTTTACACCTGTACTCATACCAACTGTCCATCGCGGCCTCACAGCCAGCTTTTCACTGATAGATATGAGAAAATTTCGCCTGAAATAATGATGTGTACAGAATAAATGGCTAAAAATCGAGTTGTCACCGATCACTCTGACCATCATCCATCAGCTCACCCTGATCTGAAATGACTTAATAATCTAAAACTGGACTAAATGCAGTTTAAATAGTTTTTGCACTATGAGCTGTTTAGACACCGTTCCAAGTTCAAATATGATGCAGTCATTAAATGCTGCAGGGCAAAATTTTAAATGTTCAACAGAGTCTAAAAATATTAAGTTTGACTCTCGAAGTCACCAAAGTATCCGTTTTTATCTGAGTCCTATACGCAGTCACTCTTTTTTTATTTGGGCTCTTCAGCCTGTATTTTGACAGGCTAGACGAGAGAGCACGCAGGAGTAAACACACAAACACAGCAAATAGCTTGAGCCCAACTCAAACCAAGGCCTCTGAATTAGTCTCAGGGCAAAGGTGTAACCTTCTCAGCCTGCTGAGGAGTACTGGCAGCACTGGAAGGTTTTCAGCACGTATCGTGTTCTGGTTTTTCCAGTCTCATGAAACTCTGAGGACACGTGGCTCCTTAACTCCTCCTTAACTTGACTCACAAAATGCAAACCGTCCATCTCCTCAACTCCAATACTAAGTAATGACACCCAAATCACAGCACATCGTGTTTTGACGCACACAGAGAGCAGTGTACTGATAGTGTGGTAGATTCTAAGCGCGACTGGTGTTTAGACCAAACCTGTTTAATGAGTGCTTCCATCATGCTCCGCTCATACCAGCGGCTCGTGAAGTTATCAAGCAGGAGTGTTTATGGAGAGCTAGATTATGATGTTATAGAAAGACTGCTGTAGCACCCATTCATGCTCATTGAATGCCACCTAGTGTCATTTCAACTTTACTGCAGGACCATCCTAGGACAGAGGGTTAAAGAAGCTTAAACAGACATGCACCTCTTACTTGTGACTTCTCTACCTTCAACTTGGAGGGAAACATGATGTGAAGGCAGTGTTTGAAAGCAGAAACTATAAGGAGACGTTTTGGTGCTCAGAGAATTTGACTTTTAACCACACTATATGGAAATTTAAAGAAACAGCAACAGATGTCTTATTTCAGTGATCCAGTGAAACCTTTCCCTGCTCCATGTCTACGATTTCTATAAGTGACGAAAAAGTCCTTCCATCCGTCAGTTATCCTAAAGGGTGAAACACACATTACTAATGTAAACTGAACTCAAGTGAACACTGAACTCACTTTGATAAGTTCATCTTTCATGATCTGAACAATTTCTATAAATCATGCAAATCGGTTATTACAGCAGTGCAACGTTTAACAACCTGCTGGTGGAAAATTAAAGGACACCAGCAGCATTTCCACGATGCGCTCCACTCACTCAGGTTTCTGAACAGCCTGATGAGACGGTGTCAGCTCGTCTCCTAAAGTGTGGTCTTCCTCCTCTGCTATGAGCTGATAAAACATGTGGCTCCTTTATTCCCGCTAAAAGCACTGAAACTTGTTTCTTTGATATTTAGTGCACTTCAGCTCAGCTCACGGTGCAGGGGTTTACAAATATACTTGGCAAACAAAAGGTTGCAGGACAAAAACACCACCCGGAGGGTTGTGTCACTCCGTCAGTTTCAAAACTTTGTTGGTGAAACCGTTTGATGACCTTTATGTTTACTTTGGTGGTACGCGTTCTCATGAGGTGTAGTGTGTGTGTTTGGGAGTCACACCGTTTTGGTTTAAAGCTACAAGAAATGTAACTATGCTGTTGTGCTCACATCATCATCAGGTCACATGGAAACATCTTTTTTTGATCCACTGGATTAAAAATGCAGACTCTACTCTTTATTTGCCCGTTGTCATGGTGAATCAGTGATGACAGCTTTCTTTTATCAACTCAGAGCTGAGTGATTAACCCTGATCAGCCTTTCTGGCACTCAAACAGTCACCTGTAACTCCTCACTGTAAACATACTTCCTGTATGTGAACTCACAGTTTACAGGAGACAAGCTGGTTACCTGCTCTACCTGTTCTCACCTGTCACAGACCTGGAACTACCAATCGTGTCTGCGTGTGATGGATGAGTTGCTGTAGCTTTAAGTGTCTTAGCTCACTTCCTGTTTAAAAAACAAACGCAGGTATGTGCTCATACGTCAGGTAAGTTCCTCTCAGGTTGATTCCCAGCATCAGGTCGACCTTTTTCATCTGCGTCTCCAGAGTTCCCGTCAGACTGATGGCACTTGCATTGTTCACCAAGATGTCGATACCTGCCAATCAGACAAGAACTGATGATGTCACTGATAAGGTGGTGTGTTGCCAGGATAGAATTTACTTCCTGTTCTGATTAAAGGTGATTTTGAAAAAGTGTCTTTACCTCCAAATGCGTCAACGGCTTTCTGAACAGCATCTCCGATCTGCTGCTCATCACGAATGTCCACCACGCATGGCAATGCCTTTCCGCCCGCTGCCTCCACTGCAACATGCACGCGCACACACACACACACACAAAACATAAGTTCAGGGACAAAGGTTGCTCGTTACCTTATTGACCCGTCAGCGCCTCACCCTCCTGTGCTGCGGTGTAGATGGTCCCGGGCAGTTTGGGGTGGGGCTCAGCAGTTTTGGCAGCAATCACAATGTTGGCACCATCTCTGGCAGCTTTCAGAGCTATGGCCTTCCCGATTCCTCGACTCGCTCCGGTGATGAAGAGCGTGCAGCCAGCTAGCTTCCTGCAGCAGGAAGAAAGTTAACCTACATGCCAACACCTCCCTTTTCCACTCAGTAAAAATAAGACAGAAGAAAATTAAAAGAACCTAAATAATCCACCCTACATTTTTTATTTTAAGTTAATTAAATGTTTAATATTGTTAAAATAGGAAACAAAGGAATGCGTTAATTTCTTTAAAAAAAATCAAAAGAAATTTCATTGAGTTGACAGGTGGTGGTTTGTAGGTGCCATATTTGAAATTAAATTAATGAAATGTATATATTTGACACACACAGGACTCTGAATTGTTTGTAAATTCCAAATATGCAAGTTTCTGTTGGTTTTTAATAGTAACAAAACCTACACAGCAACAAGGAGGGACTGTTTAATTAGCCCGGGAGCTAACAGACAGAGGTAGTTACATGGTAGCTGCTGCTGCTGCTACAAACTCCTACATCTGACGCTTTGAACGCTACAACTCAAAGGTCAAAAGGCAGACAGAGTACAGCCAAATTGCGAATTATTTATGAAAGACACAGACACAGTTATAACAGTTAGTTCGGCTCCACTATGGTTGAATACCTTTATTTATATTAAAATGGCCACTTGTTAGTGGGTTGATTCCTTTGGATTGTCGAGTGGATGCCGATTCAGCTAATTAAATGTTTAAGCTGAATTCAGACTGATCACCTGTGACCAGACGCTGCAGATAAGATCCTGTAATTTAAAGCAATGCCACCAGCTCAGTTCCTCTCCCGTGAGGTACCAGTTTAAAACTGTTTACATACACTACAGTTCTACAGCTTTTCTCTGCTCTGAACTCTAAATCAGGTGGTTAATAAATGCAGACCATACACGTTTCTGAACAGAAACAGCCTGTTTGCATGCAAGGGCAGAATCTCATCGTGAATAAGCAGTTGCCACCAGATTCAATACAATAATCTTGGACTTCATAATGCCTTGCTCAAAAAGACAGACGACAAGAGAAGAAGAACAAAATACCGCAGATTTACACAAAGGAACTCTTCATCATTAATTCGGCTGCGTTAAAACCCTCAAATCGAAACATTTTATTCATTTAAAACCTCCGCTTGTTCCAGGGCTGCGTAGCATTCCGTGACGACACTTCGGGCGAACCGCGGACTTTACACAGCAAACTTTTCGAATGGACTTCTGCGTGCAGGAGAAGGCACTCACCCTGTGTTCTGGAGCATGGTGGGGCTCAGGTGAGTTGAAATGTAGAAGAAGCGATCACAGTTTGTGCACAAATTGGCTGCAGGTCGTCTTCTTCACCTTTCACCCAATTCAAGCGCCCCACGCCACAGCCGGAAGTCATACATAACTTCCGGTCCGCTAACCGACGAGATGCATCAATGTGACTATAATTTTTTTTAGAGTTTGCTCAAAATTCATTCACTTGTGTAAAATACTGCATTTTGTTCAGTTCAATTGTTTTCATATATAGTACAAAATCCCAACGGTGGCAGTAAACCCGACACTAACACATGTATGCAACCAAAAACCATTTTTTTGACTGTTTCTTCTAGATTTTCCTCTCACTGAAACAGTCAAAAATATATATATATATATTTAATTCCATCTTGTCAGGTTTGCTAGCAGAACTCACGCTTTTAGTTTAATTAAGCGTGCAATGTCTCCTTTTAAACTGAAATTTGGTATCCTATACTTGAGTCAAAAAAACCATAACCAATAATTATTTCTTACATTAATGTAATATTTCTAGAAAATGAAATAAATTGAGGGGGTCAGTAGGAGTGGGAGGGTACCGTAGGTTTGGCGATGTGAGGAGCTCAGATGATCCCCAACAGGTTTGTTTTGTTCATAGGGAAAGGTAAAGAATCTCAGAAAAATTGTGCATAGTATTGAAAATCAAATATTGATTTTTGTCATTGCTGTTGTGCTTTTTATAATGTCAACTCCTCATGTTTTGCAAAAAAACAAAAAGAAAACAAAAGAAAACTGTACGTCAGGGAGGCAACTGAAGATCATTTTTTGAGTCAACACCCTAAAAAACATGAAATTTACCAAAAGTATTCCATGCAGCCGAACAGTAGCGGTCTTTGATACGGGCGACACGGGCGGTTGCCCGGGGCGCATCGTGGTGGGGGCAGCATCACGGGCATCGGCAAAAAAAAACGTTGC